ATCCCCTAGCACTAACCCTAACCCTAAAAGTGGACTCAATTTGCACTGGTAACTGAATAGGCTAATTGTATAAGAAATGCCCTTTCCATCTGTCTGTGCCTGTTTGCCACCAAACAGATAAAGCCAAGCCTGCCTAAGAAAAAACTAAAAATCCCAAGATGAAGCAGAGCTTGCTGGGAAGGGGCAAACCAAAAACTAGAAAAGTGCAGGGGATTCCTACAGCTCCTCCCACAAACTAATACAGTGGAACATTCCTATGCTCAAACATACTAAGGACTACACTAAAATGAAAGAAAATACAGGGGAGAATTTAAACAGTCCAGGCTAGACATCACATCAGGAAACCTGGAAACAGTAAACCCAATCCCCACTTACTTGGAAGTAACTACCATTAAATTAGTAAAGACTGATTAGCATCAGAGTAAGTTTAAGGAAGATATGTTTTAAATAGATATTGAAGGTGAGGATCTCTTCACAAGAATTTCGTCAGTGCTTATTTTTAAAATGGCACTGCAGAAAACCTGGCAGTATGGCAGGAAATGGGAAATGTGACTCTCCAGAAATTGTTGGCCTGCAAATCCCACATCATTAGCTATGCCAGAAAGGGCTGATGGGAGATGCAGTTCAACAACATATGGAGGACCACATGGTTGCCCAGCCTTGCAAAGCAGCATCCTCTGCACCAAAGAACAAAAACTCAGAAATTGTTAGTTCTAAGTTGCAAAACGTAAGTGAGCAATACGGAAAACAGATCCAAAAAAAAAACTTAAGTTTAGCAGGAGACCTAAAAACTAAAGTCCCTTCCAAGCACCAGAATATGCTTACATTCATACAAAATAATTAACTCAAATGCCACATTAAAACTGTTACAAAGAAATGCTGTTCCTGATTAAGCTCAGCAGGAAACCTTCCAAATAGCACAAACATCAAAACTGTGTTGCAGAAAGAAAGAAATAAAAAATAGCTTTACAACACACACATACACACGAGAGAGAACAGACTCAAAGCATTAATACAATCTTCCCTGGTGCAGCTATAAAGCTACAATTCTATGTATATATACATACATACTTTAAAGGAAACCCCATTGGGACTTACTTCCAATTAAGCATGCATAGGATCAAACTGCACAATGCATAGCCTCAGCACAAGGAGGGGGAAAAGGAAATTTTAAACAAAGGATAGAGGGGATTATCAGATTTTGGAGTAGAGTAGAGGAGCAGACAGGTCTGAAAGTTAGGATTAATGTTGTTAGAAAGAGTGGTATGTCAATCTTTACAGGATTTAGGATTTTGTTCAAGAAATATAGACCTTTCTAAATTAACAATCCCCAAGAGATTTTAACATGCCTCCCTCTTCCCCTTGTGGATCTTCCTGCCTGGAGTTTAATTAATGCTGTAATCCTAAATGCAAGCATTATAAATCTAATTGATATAAATGGGAATTACTCCTACATTAGACTATCTATGGATCTGGGTAGATCAAACTTGTACACCTCCCTCCTGAAACATACATGCAACTAGACCATATCTATATGTTTACTTAAAAGTCAACATCTCCTTTTAATGATATTTCTCCTGAAGTAAATGGGCAAAGGACTGCAGGAGAACAGCCCCAACATTCTTGCTTACTCAAAAATAAGCACTAAACCAGATTAGACTTTTTAGTTTCTGGAACAGGCTTTTTAGTTGTTTGCACTATCAGGTACTTGAGCTGAAGTTAGCCTCACAAACTTGTTTGGGATTTGGCTCTTAGTCCAAATCCTTTACCAACTACACTTCTCCACAGTCAGTTCAAACTATGGTCACTCTATGGCACATTACTCAAAACTCTGACATGCCATACCGACATGCTGTATTTTCCACAGCATGGAGACAACAAATCTAAACCTGCATCTGAATAATACATACTCTCCAACATTTCAGATGAAAACTGGGACACATGTGGCCAAGCAACATCAGTGTAGTCAAGATGGCAAAAGTAATTCATGAGGACACA